CTTGTTGAATGACGACCACTTAAGCTGTTAGTGAAATGTATTATTTGATATTTGAATATATTATAACCATTCCCTGAGGGTATAGTCAAATTACTAAAAATCCCCTCTTGTTTGGATAATTACATTTACCCCCTCAACTATGAATCTTCTTACACCTCCACTCTTATGGTGTCATAGTCAACATAATCATCTAGATTTCGTATAATGTGCTCTAATTTGTACTCATTTTGTGTAAAAATACAGTTTTTGATGCACCAAAATCTGATATATAAAAGCCAAAAAATACATCTTATGAACATCTCGCTTCAAAATGTGGAGCTCAAATGGGATAAAACGGGTACAAAAGTGATTATATTACATATAGTCTAGAAGATTCCAGTAAATTTAAAACCGCAAGGGTGGACGTGCAAGAAAATTTATAATTGAAGGGGTGGTTGTAATTACCCAAATAAGACGGGGGTTTTCGTAATTTGACCATATCTTAGGGGGTGGTTATAATTTATCCGTAATATTAATATCTCCAATACGTCCCAATTTAATATTAATAACTCCAATACGTTGGCTCTGATATCATATTAAATAGGGTTAATGGCGAAGAGGCCCTGACGAGGGGACTTGACTAAAAAATGGTCATCCGAGTTTTTTGTCTTTCAAATAATTCCAGCTCATTCAAACTTATTTGCAAATAAGGAAAACACTTTTATATATACCAAAACTACCCCCAATTCCTTGACACCCAATCCAACTCCAATTTCACGATTTACGTTTTACACCCCAATTCAGCCCAATTTTACCCATTAAACAATTTTGACCCGCCACCGCCGTCGACCGCTGGTCTGCAACATTGACCTTTTTTATTTTTGAAAACTTTTTTTTTTTTTTTCTGAATTTTTTTTCCCGGCAGGTTAACCACCGGTCTCTGGCGTTGACTTTTTATTTTTTTTTTCGAATTTTTTTTTCTGAAATTCTTTTTTCGGCAGGTTAACCGTCGTTGATTTTTTTTTTTCAATTATTTTTTTTCTAAAAAAAATATTTTAATTAATATTACTTACTGGCTTGGCTGCTAAATTATTGTCTCCAACAGTAATTTAACTGTCGGAGATAGTAATTTAACTGTTAATTAACTTTTTTTTTTTTAAATTTCATTTTGTCTTAATAAAAATTATTTTAATTAATATTAATGTTTTGGTTACTAAATTACTGTCACCAATAGTAATTTAACTGTCAGAGACAGTAATTTAACTGTCAGAGATAGTAATTTAACTGTGTGAGACAATGATTTTACTGTATTAATTAATTTTATCGTCTTGGCCTGCAATTTTTCCTGTCTTCAACCGTAATATTACTGTCTCCGACCGTAATATTACTGTCTCATGTAATAATATTACTGTTTGGGACAGTAATATTAGTAATATTACTGTTCGGGAAAGTAATATTTGTAATATTATTGTTCGGCAAAGTAATGTTACTGTCCCAAACAGTAATATTACTGTCTGAGACAGTAATTTAACAATCAAGACAGTAATATTAATTTAAATATTTTTTTAAGAAAAATAAAATTTAAAAAAACAAAAGTCAACGCCGGAGACAGGCCGGAAAAAAAATTCAGAAAATAAAATAGTCAACGTCGGAATTTGGCTGGAAAAAAAAATTCAGAAATAAATTATTTTCTTAAAAAAAAATATTTTTATAAAAAAATATTAAAATTGGGGTTAATGAGATGTACATGTTTAAATCAGAAGTCAATGTCTAATATTGGGGAAGTTAGAGTATAATAGATGCAATTGATAAAAAATATATTATGATTGGTATTTTAGACTAAAGACATGAGGATGAGTTTATTTGAAAGACTGTTTTTTGTGTGGACCAATGTGCATTTAAGTCCTTTGTCATGTCACTATTTGCCATTTGCCCTATTATTGGGTGTCTTCGGTGTCTTCTATATATTTTTTTTGTGCGCGTTTTCGGTGTAGTGTGTGTATATTTTTTAGTGTGTGTAATTTTTTTAGTGTGTGTAATTTATTTAGTGTGTGTTTTCGGTGTACTTTGTGTAAATTTTTTTAGTGTGTGTTTTCGGTGTAGTGTGTGTCTATTTCTTTAGTGTGTGTTTTCGGTGTAGTGTGTATATTCGGTGTAGTGTGTGTATATTTTTTAGTGTGTGTTTTCGTTGTATTGTGTGTAATTCTTTTTAGTATGTGTTTTCGGTGTAGTGTGTGTATTTTTTTTAGTTTGTGTTTCGGTATAGTGTGTGTCTATTTTTTAGTATGTATTTTTGATGTGGTGTGTGTATTTATTTTAGTGTATGTTTTCGGTGTAGTGTTTGTATATTTTTTAGTGTTTGTTTCCAGTGTCGTATGTGTATATTGTTTTAGTGTGTGTTTTCGGTATAGTGTGTGTAATTTTTTTTAGTGTGAGTTTTCGGTGTAGTTTGTGTAATTTTTTTTAGTGTGTGTTTTCAGTGTAGTGTGTGTAATTGTTTTTTATTGTGTGGTTTTCTGTGTAGTGTGTGTAAAAACTTTTCACGATCAACATCACAAAAAACTGTATGCTATAGTATACAAACTTTAGTTAAAATTGGTGCAACATATAAAAAAATACTTCACGATCAAAATCACCAAACACTATATAGTACACAATTTTTTTACTAAAATTGGAATCAGTTTTTTGTGTTTTTGATCGTCAAATTTTTTTTGGACGTTCACCAATTTTACCCAAAATCTCTGTACTTATAGTATACAGTTTTTTGTGATTTTGATTGTAAATTTTTTTTTGGGACGTTCCACTAATTTTGCCCAAAATTTGTGTACTATAGCATACCATTTTTTGTGATTTTGATCGTGAAAAAGTTTTTTGGACGCTCCACCAATTTTACCCAAAATTTGTGTACTATAACATACAGTTTTGGTGATTTTGATCGTGAAATAGTTTTTTGGACGTTCCATTGTACCCAAAATATGTGTATTATAGTGTACATTTTTTTAGTTTTTGATCGTGAAATAGTTTCTTGGACGTTCCTCAATATTATCCAAAATATGTTTACTATAGTGTACAATTTTCTGTGATTTTGATCGTGAAATAGTTTTTTAGACGTGCCACCAACTTTACCCAAAATATGTGTACTATAGTATACAATTTTTTGTGATTTTGACCGTGAAATAGTTTTTTGGACATTGCATTAATTTTAACTAAAATATCTGTACTATAGTATACAATTTTTGTTGATTTTGATCGTGAATTTTTTTTATAGACACTACACCAGAAAGACACACTAAAAAAAATACACACACTCCACTAAAAACACACACTAAAAGAATTACACACACTAAAAACAATTACACACACTGTATTGAAAACACACACTAAAAAAATATACACACACACTAATATTATTGCATGAGACAGTAATGTTACAGCCTATGACAGCAAAATTGCAGGCCAAGACGATAAATTAATTAATACAGTAAAATTATTGTCTAAGACAATAATATTACTGTTTCGGACTGTTAAATTATTGTTGGAGACAGTAATTTAGCACCCAAGACAATAATATTATTAAAATATTTTTTTCTATGAAAAAACTAAATTTAAAAAAAAAGGTCAATTAACTGTTAAATTACTGTTGGAGCAGTAATTTAGCAGTCAAGACAGTAATATTAATTAAAGAAAATGATGAAAAAAAAGTCAACGCCGGAGAACGACGGTTGACCTGCCGAAATTTTTTTCAGAAAAAAAATGGTTTTAAAAAAAAAAAAAGAGTCAACGCTACACCGCCGGTCTCCGGAGGTGTCGGGTCAAAATTGGAATAAGGATACAAAGTGGTGGTTAAATTGGGCTAAATTGGGATATAAATCATGAAATTCGAGTTGAATCAGGGTTTCATGGAATTGATGGTAATTTTGATATATTAAAAGGGTTTTCCTTATTTACAAATAAGTTTGAATGAACTCGAATTATTTGAAAGATAAAAAAGTTTGATATCCTTTTTTTTTATTATAACCTTGTCATGGGCATTTTTACCACTAGAACAAAATGTGAATATTTTTTAAAGTTGTATGTATATATACATAGTTATTTGCACATAACCCTCTACGTAATTTTGAATAGCTAAAAAAACCTTCGTATTAAAAACTGGGCAAGGACACCCCTATGTTGAGTTTTACAAAGCAGACCGGACGTTATTTCGACGCAACAAAATATCAAAGAGTTACCAAAACAGGTAACTTAGTGTATTGCAAATCTCCAACTTCAATAATTACATCTCCTCTTCTTCTTCTTCATCGTGGCGCTTCTTACACCGGAAATAAAACACCGTGTACGCAATTAAAGCCAGAATCCTCAACAAGGAGACCAAATTCAAAAAGAACAACCCGTAATAAATCGTCACATTATCCACGGACAATTTATCGATATAATAATAAGTACCCGGGGAAATTAGAATAACCGCCACATGCAAGATAGAAGAACAAGTTGAGCATGAATCCATGGAGGCGCTGGCCCCCCCATAACGAGCTTTTCGGCCTTTTCCAACGCCTCCATCCTCGAACTATCTTCAACAATAGAGACCACAACCGACGAATACAGCTGGAAAATAAAAACAACTATCCCGAAAATAACGGCTGCACGAATTGTCATAAAATTGGGATACGTAAATAGTTATAAGACAACAGCTAAAACGACAACGATTACAAGAAAACTCGACGACGATGACGATGAGTATGATCTTCTTGAGAAGTGTTTCTTCCATGTAATTCGTTTGATACTCGAGAAAAGATCTTTCTACGAAAATATTAAAGATTTAATGAAAGTATTAAGGATTTAAAGAGTCCACTAAATATTGGATGCACATGTCATTAAAATATTTATTTTGACTTGATCAACATTTATTTATTAATGCAACGAGGAAAAATAAATATATATGTAACATATAAGAAAATATATAAGTGTTTGCTATGTGATTTGGGGTATCAATACGGTGGGGCCATGGTTTTTTATTTGACTTGAACCAAATTATATAGCAGATATATGATCATGATTAATAAACACACAAATACAGACACACCCACATTGGTGTGTGTAGATCAACGGTAAATATACACTCAGTGAAAATCAAAGAGTGTATGTAAATACTATATAAGCCAAAACCCTCAGTGAATATCATCACTACTCAAAACAGGTAATTTAGTGTATTGCAAATCTCCAACTTTAATAGTTATATCTATCTCTTCTTCTTCATCTTCTTCTTCGCCGTGGTGCTTCTTACACCGGAAATAAAACACCGTGTACGCCATAGAAACAACCATGTTGAACAAGGAGACGAAATTCAAGAAGAACAACCCGTAATAAATCATCACATTATTCACGTACAATTTACGGATATAATAATATAAACACGGCAATATTAGAACCGACGCCGCCACCAGATTGAAGAACAAGTTGAGCGTGAATCCATGGAGGCGCTGGCCCCCCTTAACGAGCTTTTCGGCCTTCCCCAACGCCTCCACTCCCGAACTATCTTCCACAATTGAGACCACAACCGACAAAACGTAGACAACCGACGAATACAGCTGGAAAATAAAAACAATCACCCCGAAAATAACGAATGCACAAATTGTCATAAAATTGGGATACATGAATACTAAGAAAATAGCTAAGACGACGGCGATCGAAAGAAAACGTGACGATAACGACGATGATGATGAATATAATCTTCTAGAGAAGGGTTTCTTCCATGTTCGTTTGATGCTCGAGAAAAGATCTTTCGGATCTAATTTCTTGCCGGTGTAAGAATATGCCGATACGAGGATAGTTGTCGTGCTGGATAAGCTGGATATTATGACAAAAATTAACAAGAAGGCGATTTCGACTGCAAGAAGAAGTGCCAAGTATTTCACCACGTGGTTATCACTATCGGAATATTCGGGGTCTGTGTAAGAAGCGAACACATAAGCGGTGAGGGATTGGTAGAAGTAAACGAATGACAAGAAGAGGACTGAAGGTAGGAGGAGTGAAAGAAAGGCGATTGATGCCACGAGTTTCCCATTTTTCGGGAGGATTTTTAGGGTTTCTTTTAGGATTATCAAGAAACCGAAAATTTCGGAGAGATCCATTTTATTGAATTAGGCTCAAAGAGAATTGTGCTTTTATTCTTTGGGAATTTGAGAAGAAGATATATTGGTGTGTGTGTGTGTGTGTGTTTATTTTTTTGTGCTGATATATGAGATGGTTTATTGCGTGGAAAAGTATGTTTGTGGGAGAAAATTTCTTCATATACTTGATCATCGTTGGCAATTTCGTAGTGTAATATATATATATATATATATATATATATATATATATATATATATATATATATATGGTTTTGCAATAATAGGAGAATAAGGAGTGATTCCCCTCAATTTATGTAGCTGTCCCTTGCACATGATCTTGGTGACTTTTCCAAGCTGAGTTTTGTAAATTTGACTAAACTAGAACACATTGTGGGGTTTATTTACTTATTTTTAATTTCATCTCTCTAGTTTTATTTTAGTTAATTTTTGAAAGGTGTTCTTACAAATGAATTGTCTGAATTGATTTCAATCAATTCGGTTTAAGAGATTGATATCAATTATTCTTTCCTTATCTCTTTCCCCCCTCTCTTGACTCAATTTATTTTATCGAGTTGATTTACAACTTGTAGAACGGGCACTTAACTATTAGTGAAATATATCATTTAATATTAATATTTTCAATATATCCTACTTAGCTCTGATACCATATTAAATAATCACCTCAACCAAAATTTTAGATTAATCAACTAACTTAAATCACGTGAATCAACCGATTTACAACTAATCCAAGGTACTTAAAACTAAGTCCTAATCATAATTTGATCAAATCCACTAATTTCTTTCAGTTGACTTACAACTTAGTCAATTAATAATACCAATTCAGCTTCAAATATACTTTTGACCATTTTTGGATATGGAGTTGGCAAAATTCAAACACGAAAATTGTAGTCAAATTTGAATCACTTAATCATCGAATGAGCTTATAAATTAAGGTTGTAATATCTACTAGAAACTAAAACACAAGACATGCTACTACTGCAAGAACGAACCTCAAAATCCAAAAAAAAAAAGAAAAAAATAATTTATATATATATATATATATATATATATATATATATATATATATATATATATATATATATATATATATATATCTAATTTAAATACAATAATATATAAGCCATCCTCAGGGAATATCACTATCCAAAGCAGGTAATTGACTGTATTGTACATTTATATCTTCTTCTTTTTCTTCTTCTTCTTCACCGTGGTGCTTCTTACACCAGTAATAAAACACGGTGTACGCCGTAAAAACAAAAATGTTCAACAAGGAGACGAAATTCAAAAAGAACAACCCGTAATAAATCGCGAATTTATTCACGGACAATTTATCGATATAATAATAAGAAGCCGGCAAAATTAGAATCAACGCCACCAGATTGAAGAACAAGTTGAGCATGAATCCATGGAGGCGCTGGCCCCCCTCAACGAGCTTTTCGGCCTTTTCCAACGCCTCCATCCTCGAACTAACTTCAACAATAGATATCACAACCGACAAAGCCGAAACAACCGACGAATACAGCTGGAAAATATAAACAACTATCGCGAAAATAACGGCCGCAGAAATTGTGATAAAATTAGGGTAGATAAATACTATGATAACAGCTAAAACGACAGCGATTGAACGAAAACGGGACGATGATGATGAAGAGAATCTTCTAGAGAAGGGTTTCTTCCATGTTCGTTTGATGCTCGAGAAAAGATCTTTCGAATCTAATTTCTTGCCGGTGTAAGAAAATGCCGATACTAGTATAGTTGCGGTGCTAAGTAAGTTGGATATTATGACGAAAATGAACAAGAAGGAGAGTTGGACTACAAGAAGAAGTAAGGTGTATTTCAGCACGTGGTTACTATTATTATTATTAGGGTTGTACAGAGCATCGGAATATTCGGGGTTGGCGTAAGAAGCGAGCATATTAGCCCAGAGTGATTGTAAGAAGTAAACGAATAAGGAGATGAGGATTGAAGATAGGAGGAGGGAAAGAAAGGCGATCGAGGCCACGAGTTTCCCATTTTTCGGGAGGATTACTAGGGTTTCTTTTAGGATTATCAAGAAACCGAAAATTTCGGAGAGATCCATTTTATTGAATTAGGCTCAAAGAGAATTGTGCTTTTATTCTTTGGGAATTTGAGAAGAAGATATATTAGAGAGTGTGTGTGTGTGTGTGTGTGTGTGTGTGTATTTAAGATGGTACATTGCGTTGAAAAGTATGTTGTGGGAGAAAATGTCTTTGGCAATTTCGTAGTATAGTACACGCTTCTCTTACAAATAATTGAGTCAACTCTTGGGTCGTCGTTGGCAAGTTTGTAGTATATATATATATATATATATATATATATATATATATATATATATATATATATATATATATACTAGTTGTGGATGGCACCGCCCAATGCGCGGTGCTATTTGTAGAAATGATGAAAATACATAATGAAAAAGATGAATTATATTGTATGCTTGTACATTTATATACACACAAGAGAGAAACAATAAAAGGAAGAATCTAATTATACCTAATCAAATCCCTAGTCAAATCACTAATTAAGACTTGATTGAATCTAATCAAATCACCTAATTAAGGCTAAACTAAATCGAAAATGAATATATATTATATTCTTCTAACACCCCCCGTCAAGTTGGAAGTGATATTGATATATCAAAAACACCCAACTTGCGAACTAATCGTCGATAAGCTTCACCGCCAAGTGGTTTCGTAAAAATATCTGCCATTTGATCACTTGAACGTAGGTATGAGGGAGCAATGAGACCTGCCTGAATTTTTTCTCTCGGACAGAATGACAATCAATCTCAATGTGCTTCGTGCGTTCATGAAAGACAGGATTTTCTGCAATGTGTATAGCAGCTTGGCTATCACAATGAATTGGAATTGGTTGAGAGTGGTTGAAACCGAGATCTGTTAGAACATATTTTAACCACCGTAACTCACAGGTAAGTGTAGCGATAGAACGATATTCGGCTTCGGCAGAAGAACGAGAAACGGTTGGTTGTTTCTTAGTTTTCTAAGAAATAAGACTAGAACCTAACATGGTGAAATAACCAGTGGTAGACTGACGAGTGGTAGGACAACCAGCCAATCAGAGTCGGCATATCCTACTAGAGTGAGAGAACTAGATGCAGAAATGAATAAACCTTTACCAACAGTACCTTTAAGATAACGAAGGATTCGATTGGCAGCATCAAGATGAGTAGAATGCGGATTTTGCATAAATTGACTAAGAGTATTTACCGCATATTGAATGTCAGGTCGTGTTACAGTGAGATATAGCAGACGCCTTATGAGACGTCGATAGATTGATTGATCGGGAAGAGGAGTCCCATCATGTGGACGTAAACGAAGATGTGGTTCCATTGGAAAATCAGACGGACGAGAACCAGTCATCCCGGAATCAGATAAGATGTCTAGAGTATACTTGCGTTGACATAAAAAAATGCCTTGTTTAGAACGAGATACTTCAATACCCAGAAAGTATCGAAGATTACCAAGATCTTTTATGGAAAAAATATTGGCAAGAAATTTTTTGATATCGAAAATAACATCATCATTATTTCCTGTAATGATAATATCATCAACGTAGACGAGTATAAAAATGGATGTCTTATTACGAATATATGTAAAAAGACTGTAGTCTGAAATTGATTGATGAAAGCCGCGACTAATAAGAGTGGTTGAGAATTTGGAGAACCATTGACGAGATGCTTGTTTAAGACCATAGATTGATTTATTTAATTTACATACACGACTCTCCCCTTGGTGAGAGAAGCCAGGGGGAAGTTTCATATAGACCTCTTCATTAAGATCTCCTTGAAGAAATGCATTGTTAACATCAAGTTGGTGGATGGACCAACTTTTAATGGCAGCAATTGAGAGTAGGAGACGTACAATAACTAGTTTTGCCACAGGTGCGAAGGCATCATGATAATCAATTCCTTCAATTTGAGTGTAACCTTTGGCAACTAGACGAGCTTTATATCGATCAATTGAACCATCTGACCGATATTTAATTTTTGAAGACCCATTTACAACCAATGGGTGATTTGCCGGGTGGAATTTGACATAAGGACCAAGTGTTATTTGATTCTAGAGCTTGAATTTCCTTGGCCATTGCATCATGCCATTCAATTGATTTTATGGCTTGAGAATATGATCGCGGCTCTTGATTCTTAATGACATTTGTGAGAAAGGCTCGATGGGAATGACTTAAATTACGGAAAGAAATGTAATTGCTAGTGGAAAATCAGTGGATAGTGAAATATGATTACAAATATAATCATTGAGACGCTTTGGTTGGTGACGGATGCGTTGAGGGTAATTACGAACAATTGTTGTAGAAGGTGAATCAGAAGATGGTGTGCCATCAGAAATAGATGGAGAATTAGTTGAACCATCAAGTTGAGAAGGTGAGGAAGGAGATTCAGAAATAGAGGGAGAATTGATTGAATCATCAAGTTGAGAGGGTAAGGAAGGAGATGGTGGCGAGTCATCAAAACTCGTAGTTTCATTATGAGGAATAGAATCACCCGAAGGGGGGTCGATGAGTGGTGTAGGGTAGTCAAAAGTCCCATTATCATTGATCGGAGTAATTGAAATTGGATCTTGTAAAGATGAATTTGCAAGATCCACATGAAATATGACATCGCGTGAAACGTAAATTTGACGAGTTTTGAGGTCGCATATACGATATCCCTTTTGTCCATAAGGATAACCAAGAAAGATGCCAGGTTTTGCTCGTTCATCAAATTTATGTTAAATATTTATATTTTTAGCAAAACATAAACACCCAAAAACTCGAAGTGAGGAATAAGATGGAAGATGTCCAACTAAGACTTGATGAGGAGATTTATATTGAAGGACTGGAGTTGGAAGTTTGTTAATGAGAAATGCAGCGGTTAGAATACATTCACCCCAAAAAGAAAGAGGCAAGTTTGCTTGAAATCGTAAAGCTCGAGCGACATCAAGGAGATGCCGATGTTTACGTTCTACAATGCCGTTTTGTTGTGGGGTCGCAACGCAACTACGTTGATGAATGATTCCATTATCATGAAACCATTTTTGAATTTGTTTGGAAAGAAATTCAGAACCATTATCTGAACGTATGGTTTGAAGTTGAGGAAGAAAAATATCCCCATTTCCGGAATTGAAACGAGAGACTTTTGTGTTAAATTGACGACGAATTAGATTAAAAAAATGGGTTATCATGTTGAAAGTTTCGGATTTGTGTTTCATTAGATAAATCCAAGTGCATCTTGAATAATCATCAACAATAGTTAAGAAGAATCGTGATCCATTTTGTGAGGGTATAGAGAAAGGACCCCAAATATCAACATGAATCAATTCAAAACAATGAGAAGAACAAGATGTACGTTGAGGAAATGAAAGGCGTGCCTGTTTAGTACGTGGACAAACATCACAAACAAAATCCTTATTTGGAATAATATTTTGAGAATTCTTAACAATAAAATCAAAACGAGGCCTAGATGGATGACCAAGGCGAGAATGCCATAGATCAAATTTATTACATTGCTTAATAGAAAGAGCATAATTAGAAACCAAATTGCAATCTAGATAGAAAAGACCATTGTGAGAATTACCCCGACCAATCGTCTTCTTCGTTGATTGGTCCTGAAATATACATCCAGACGAAGAAAAAATTATATCACAATTTGTGGATTTCGTAAATTTTGAAATGGATAACAAATTGAACCTAAAAGATGGAATGTAAAAAACATTCGTGAGAATGAAAGTACCAAAACATTTGACAGTGCCTATGTGAGTCACAGGCGCGTGAGAGCCATCAGGCAACTGAACATATATGTTTTTACGAATAGGGGAATATGAAGAAAAAAATGAGAGAGATGTACCTATATGATTAGAAGCACCGGAGTTAATAATCCAACAAAATGATGAAAATGTATGATTTTTACCTGCTAAGTGCACTGAGGGTCCACTAGTTTCTTCTTTGACAAGAAGTGTGAGAAGCTTGTTGTATTGTTCGTGCGTGAGTGAACTAGCCATAAGAGTGGAGTTGGATGGTGGTGACACGGATTTCTTCACATGTTTGTCGGGAAAGCCATGAAGTTGATAGCATGTAGCAAGAGTATGACCATGTTTGTTGCAATGGTCGCAAAATGGACGTTGACGTTTTCCCGACGGACGAAATGGAGGTTTAGATGCTTGAAGTGCAGCGACATCAACAGTAGGAGTTGTGAGAATATTTATCTCTTGCTGCTTTTCTTCTTGACGAACCAAATTATAGATACGTTGTTGAATGGAAGAAAATGATTCCATCAAGAGAATTTGGCTGCGAATAGCGGAAAAATGATCATGTAGTCCTTGAAGAAATTCCATGGATCGATCTTGATTTTGTTGGTCAATAATGCTTTTAGCATTACCACAAATGCAAGGAGTAATATGGATAATTGAACCGAGTTCATCCCATAGAGATTTGAGTTGCGTAAAATACAATGAAACATACATGCTCTCTTGTTTGAGGGCAGAAATGGACTGTTTCAATTGATAAATTTTTGGAGCATTTGATTGAGAAAAACGATCCGTGAGATCGGTCCAAATTTGTGCTGCAGTTTCAGCATATAAGATACTTGGACGGATCTCAGGTGAAACAGAATTAAGGATCCAACTTCCTACCAAATCGTTACAACGTTCTCAATTAGAAATGTCAGATTTCTCTGTCGGAATTGGGAGTGACCCATCAACGAAACCAAGCTTATTTTTGGCACGAAGTGCCATTGTGACTGCACGACTCCATGATCCGTAATCATCTCCTGTCAACAAAGGTGTGACAAGGATAGTAGAAGGACTATCGGAATGATGGATTGTGTATAAATCGGTTATGATGGGTGAGGGTGATGATGAAGAAGACTTTGTAGGAAGAATATCGTCGGTAGACATTTTGAAGAATGAGGAGAAAAAAAATCAAAGATTCACTGATACCATGTAGAAATGATGAAAGCACATAATGAAGAAGATGAATTGTATCTTGTATTTCATCAATGAGTGCTTGTACATTTATATACACACAAGAGAGAAACAATAAAAGGAAGAAACTAATTAAACCTAATCAAATCCCTAATCAAATCACTAATTAAGACTTAATTGAATCTAATCAAATCACTAATCAAATC